GCTGCTTCGGTTTCAGGGTCCTGGTATTGTGCATGCTGGCTCACTGTGTCCAGTGTTACTAACACTTACACAATGTTATCACACCTGTGTTTTCTTACTATGGCTGCTGGGAGGATCACCTGGTGTCTAAACTGTACTTTGTCTCTGCCTTTATAGCTCCAGTGTATATTACTGAGCACAAAACAAGCATGATATGTCTGCAGGGGTTTGATGGGGCTACCAGCAATTATTTAATGAGTGTGTTGACTCAAACCTCAACAACTTTGATCACCTTGTTTGCCTTTAGTTTGCTTCTATTCGTTAAATCAGTCTGTTTTTAGATCATTTTACACAAAAATATATATTGTTGCTTCTATTAGCAGCAGCAGCAGTTTAGCTGCTAGATGAGTTGTGTCATTGACGCTGCTTTCTTCTAAAGTCGACCCCCTCCCCCTCTATAACATAGCTAAAATACATTATAAACAACAAATGCATTTTAAGCTGACTGCTGCGCTGAGAGGTTGCCTCGGTAACGGCAGAGCGGTTGTCATGGAGCGGCTGTCTTCCTGGCCCCGCGAGGGCGCTGTCTCGAGCGCGACTCCCTCCGGTCTAGCAGCTCCGTTGCCTACGTCACCACATTCCACCGAATGCGATGGGCCAGCGTGTAAACGTAACGTAAACGTAACGTAAACGTAACGCGTAACGGTGGTCCCGAAAACACCGTCAGAGACCCGTAAGTTCACTGGAAAGTTGACTAAACGTGTGTGAATGTGTGTCTGGTTCACGGTAGTCGGACGGAAAGCTCAGTGTGGCTGTAGCGGTGGCTCAGAAGTTACCGGCTAACGTGGTAGTGAGTGAGTTGACCGCTTGGTTTTGCCGGTTAATGTGTGTGTGTGTGTGTGTGTTGTGGTGAAATCTGTGTTTCAGGGACAAGATGAGGGACGCGGCGCTCCTGCTCACATCGTGCGTGGCTCTGTGTCTGCTCCTGAGCTTCGGCCAGGCAGCCAGACCGGGACAGGACATGAGGTGTGGAGGTACGTGTGTGTCTGTGTGTCCTGTGTCTCCGGATCACTCTCTGTTCAGCGCACGTATAAACCCTAATGCGTGTCCTCTGGGCTCCCCGCAGCCTGCAGGGCTCTGGTGGACGAGATGGAGTGGGCCATCTCCCAAATAGATCCAAAGAAAATGATCCAGACCGGATCCTTCAGGATCAACCCGGACGGCAGCCAGTCCATCCGAGAGGTGAGGCAGCAGCAGCAGCCACGTAGTGATCTGTGTCCAACCCACTGTGCAGGCTGCTCTTTACTGCTACTGTAAGACGATGATAACTACACTAGAAAACATGCGTAAGCACTGTAAAGGACGCAACTGGTAAGACTACTTGGTAAGACTGCTGTAGACGACTGTGAAAAGACTACTCTGCTACTGTAAGACTCAACTGTAAGAACTGTAAGACTTACTGGTAAAAGACGTAAAAGACTACTGTAAATGTAAGACTACCGTGTACAAGTAGTCCTGCACATGTTTTTAAAAAGCAGGGTTTAATTGTTTGATTGATTTCGTGCACAATGATTTTGATTGAAACCTTTTGTGGTTTAAAATGTGATCATTTGCAGCTCGTCTTTGTCCTATATGATAATAAAATGAAGTATGTTTGGGTTTTGGACTGTGGTTGGACAAAACAAGACATTTGATAGACTGGGATGTGATATTGTGATGGATGTTTCACTGTTTTCTGATGTTTTATAGACCAAATGATTAATCCATTTATTTGAGAAAATAATCTGCAGATGAATCGATAAAGTAAAATAATCTATGGTAGCAGCCCTGTTAATAATTTCCTATGAGGTTTCTGTGTGTCACAGGAAGACCTGTTGAGTTTGAGGTGATATAACAAGTTAGGGTTGAGCGACATTATAAGATAAACTTTGAGATGATCTAATATCGTAGCTTTAGTCACACCTCCTCTTGGTGCATTAGATCACTGTGGCCAAAGCTGCAAATAACCAGGAAGGACTGTTTAATGACAATATTG